TTTTAGTATGCCTTCGTAGTGTAGTGGTCTGCACGCTGGACGCGTATTCCAGAGGTCCGTAGTTCGATTCCCGGCGAGGGTGTTTCATCACTCCTGCTTTAAAAATAACCTAATGACTCTGCAGATGAACAACCAGGCTAAGAGCTAAGATTTGCTAAGATTTTGAGCTAAGATCTTAGCCCTTTTTCACAAAGAACCGGACACGAAACTGGGTTTCTCATACAACGTTGCTGCAAAAACCATTTGAAAAAGACATCTTCTAAATTTTTGTTTGTTGCTGCCTTCACTGATTTTCTTGAAAAATTGTCATCTTCGTTTTCAAGCAGTGACACGAAGTTTAAAATTGTAGGTTTGATCCTTTCAATGTCTGAAATCGTTGATTGATCGCGATTCGGATAGTCGGTGTTCGAATAATTGGAGTTGTACAGACGTATGGTCCTACGTGCTTACAGTTTCACCATCCACTTACTGTGAGAAACTTAAAGGTAATGGTAACAAACTGTATTTAAAGGTAAGTAGTAGTCCAAGATTACACAAATTAATCTAACCTAGCAAGTTGACTCAGAAACCTGTAAGGGCTTGATATTAAACTTCGGCGGCAAGAATGAGAAGCCTGCATTCAGAATTCAAACAGCTAGAGCATAGACAGTAACAGGCTCACTCAATAACGAAAACACGTTCTGACTAACCTTTTCGCTATTTCAGTTTAAGTACATTCTCGTTCACCTTAAATCATTTACATCCTGGCGAGGAAATGCAAGGGAAACAAGGAGTGACAGAAAAGGCTAGTAAATTAAAATAACTATTAGTAAAAATAATATAAACCCTACAAGTGAAATCTCGGATCACCAACGCCTACTTGACGAACAAATTATCTGAACAAAAACCGCCTCAAATTACAAACGGTGTCTCTAGATAGTGTCATGAGTCTCCAGCACAGTCAAGTGGGTCTTAGAAACAAAGAAAAAAATAAAAGAAGAAGCCCCTAAAGTTAAGTATCTGACGTTTTTATAAAATGGAATTTCGCAATCCAAACAATAGCATCTTCCTCGCCATTTTTCACGTGTGCATTCCATTCTTCTTCTAACAGTAAAATTAAGTTTTCGTTTATTTTACCTGTTTAATATCGTGTTTATTTTTGTAAATATATATTTAAAAATTTCCATTGATTTTTGGTTCATAAACTTGTGCACAAAATACTTTTGTAAATTTAAATACGCCAAGAACGAATTAATCCATTTTACATTAATTCCTATGGAAAAAAATAATCCATGTCTGTAATCAACCGGGATAATACTGCTGTTGACGATGGCGATTTGGATCTAAATCTCTTTTAAAATTTACAGAACAGTTATTACATTGATTTCAAATTTCACTGTATTTAAATTTAAATGATTTCATTTTCTAAAACTGATAATGGTAAGTTAACCAAACCAATTCTTGCTGAATAATAATTCAAATATATTTTTAATTCCTTGTACAAAGTAAAGGAATTATTGTCATCTCAAAAAACATTTTGAGTGTCATATTTCAACGGATATATCCATTTCAACCGTTCCCGAATCTATTTCGACGATTTTTTGCTTGATGTATGAACGAGAGGATAGAATAAAAAACTCTTTTTTTTTTTTTTTTCAAAAAACGGATTTGAAAATAGATTAAAAATAGTTTCATTTGTGGCGTCTGTACGTTTGTACGTTCGTATGTATCTCACGTAACTAAAAAACGATTAGCTGTAGAATGTCGAAATTTTGTATATGTGGCTGATATAAAATGCAGTTGTGCACCTCCCTTTTTTATTGCAATCGGCTGTACGAAATACACACATTTATATTCATATCCACACCCTTACTCTGCTTTTACATCCTAACCCGGCCTTTATTTTCGCAATCGTTGGTCGTAGTCATATACTTACTATTACAGAAGTATTTTAAATGACGAAACTATTCATGTTTTGCATTTTCAAATTTATAAAAAAATTAATTTTGAGCGAATAACGAAATCTAACCTTTAATACGGTCTCCCTGATCTTATGTTTACATTTGGGAAAGTTATGAATCGTTATTGAAAAGTTATAAGAAGTTTAACTCCCGTACGACAAAAATTGACTAGGATATATAATATCAAAATTAAAAATTTTTTGATGTCATTTTCAATTTATCTTGAGGGATCGACTATTCAGGTTAGAATGACTGAAGGAAATAAGTGTAAATGTGATGTAACAAAAAATATGCATAATTTAATAAGCTCTATAAGGAAGCCATGTGGTGTCCACATGAGATTTCAACGAAAGGTTTCATCCATCAGGTTTTTAAAAATGAAAATCACTGTGATGTATTAGTTTTGAAATTTAAGAAAGGTTCATTAAATGATTATTTACGTATTCTATTTCAATATTAAGAAATTCATTAGCTATTCGTTTGTGAACTGAGTTCTCCGCAATATATTAGGTAGTTTGAAAAGTAATTTCGTTTTTTCCAACAGAAGTCTTAATTGTATTTTTTCACAGCCAAGGTCAGTTGAAGGTGATGGAGAGCTTAAGAACACAAAGGAACCCATGTATCGAACTTTTTGAAATTAAACCTAGGCTTTTAAAATGACCATGAATGTTCGAATTCAATAAAGTTAATCTCTTAGCAATCTCACGAGTTGTTATTCGACGTTTTGCATCATTTAATGCCTTTATTATGTCTTCATAACCTTCACCTGACATTCCAGGACATGGCGCATCTTCAAGATCAAAATTGCCGGATAGAAATTTTGTAAATTTCGGCACTGGCATTATGTTAATACATCTTCTCCATACATATCACATAATTTTTTTCTTGCTTGAACAGCATTTTTACCTTTTCGATAGTAAAAAAGTAAAATATGCCGAAAATGTTGCTTTTCACTTTCCATATTTCAAAGGGCACGAACCAAAAACTACTGCGAAGAATCAATCGAATTTTTTCATAAACAAGTCTTGCTGTATCAGCTGTCAAAATATGTAAGGATTATGCAGCTTAAGCGTGAAGTTGGCAGTGAAAAATGCAATTAAACCCTCTGCTGGGAGGAAATGAAATTACTTTCCGAATAACCCAATGAATAACCCTAAACCGGGGCTTAATTTCTAAGATTAGAAGTGCCCGAGCCCTGTGGAAGACCGTCAGCAAAGAGTAAATATATAAATAAAATAACTATCAAACTCATTAATAATTTTAAAATTAAATATTTAATTACTATCAAATTAATTAATAGCTATTTAATTAATGTTTATAAATTGTTATTTAATCAATAATTATTATACAATTAATTAAATAATTTAATTGATAACTATTAGATAATTAATTATTATTTATTGAAATAATTAAGATTTGAAGTAATTAAATAAAATGTAAAGAGATAAATTGAAATTTAATACGCGATTTCTAGTATAATTTTATTGTTAAAATAAATTTGTTAAATAAATTTATTTATTGTTAAATAAAAATTTTTACTGAAATTGTATTTCAATTCCACAAAAGGAGTGCCGCAGCCTTCTTATTCAGGGCTCCGGTGCGTTCCGGCTAGAATTATGATTTATTACAAAAACTAAGAAGCACCGGAGACGAGATACGGTGGGCTCCCATCCAATTTAAGCTCTGATCGTAGGGGGGGGAGTTCTTTTATCATCACAAAAATTAAATATACTTAAAGTATAGCTGATGAAAATTCCAAGGCGAACAGAATGAAGGTATAAGTGGGTGGAAACAAAAAAATGAGGGGAATTTTGGTGAGTGAGAACGTTCTCTTTGACCGAATTTATCTGCTGATATAATTATAGCTATCAAGCAGATGTGTGTCAGGGTTAAAATGAGTCCTGAATCTGACTCTTAAGGATGATTGCAAAGTTGCTGTTTACGCTTCCCCCTATTAGTGGATACTGTGGGAAGACGATGTATAGGATATGCTTGAGCAGTTTATCTCAATATTTCACTCTTATTGTACTCGCTGTCACTTAACGCACATTTAAGTGCATAAATTTTCCTTCCTGCGAGGATAATTAACTGTAAGCATCGATAACAATACAGTAGCTACGATGGCGGGGTGAGAAATTTAGGCGTTCCTAAACAAACTCCCTCAAATTTATTGCCCTTCTTAAAGAGAAAAGTTTCCGCATGTGAATGAGGGGACTTTACTTGAACGTTTCATGTTCTCATGAGTTCGTATTTCTAGGGAAATAAAGTATTGCGAGGTCTGCTTATTGTTAAACTAAAACGTTAGGAATTCTAATTTTTTCCCCTTTAAATTGTGGTTCATTTTATAAAAAGAAGTACCGGAGCTCATCTTATTTCATCTTATTACCGGAGCTCTGGCTAAAATTGTAATTTACCTTAAAAATTGAGAAGTACCGGAGCTGGGCTCCGGTGGTCTCCGGCGCAATTTAAGCACTGCATTAAACATTGGTAAAGCCTAGCCTACTAAAAAATTATAACTTCCGTTATAAAACAATGTGAGAAAAGACATGTTCTACCATGAGCGCAACGGCATATATTTAGTAGAAATGAATCAAGGGTAACTCCCTTCTCACACATGATTCTGAGCAATCAAGAAACCTTGTCAACACAATGTTTACATATCAAAAGAGACCTATTTTATTCTTTACTGTTTGTATTTTATAATGCCCCAAAAATTTCACCTTTACCTCTCCTAGAACTACTTATTTCTTCGGTGTTTAGCCTTGATGTCTAATTTCAAGGGCAGGAAAACGCTTTAATTGGCAAATTGACTCGTTGGAAAGTGTGAGGAAGAACTCTAACACAATGGATAATTCACTGCTCACTGAAGCGTACTGTGACCGCAGATGTGATTTTAATAGGAGGTGTGAACTATTAAGGTGAAGAATTATCCACCTGTGAGGAACAAAATATTACTTTGTTTGCTTTTAGCTTTTTAAAAAGAGTGCTTCATTATTTTGTGTTTATATCATCAATATTTCTCGGAAATAAAAGTTTTCATTCATCCTGCCGCAAATGTCTTTATTTTTATTTAAAAAAAAAAAACATTAATGACAGTGACTCCTATATATATATGGGGTGTCTGAAACAAGAAACAACTGCGAACAGAACAGAACTGAATTGAATATTTTTGGAACTGAGAAGGAGTTCTAAAGATGTTGTCTGCACTGTGTTTGGTAAGTTTCAAAAATACTTTTCAGTTTTAAAATCATTTTATATTACAATATAAATTTCCATTATTCACGTAGCATGTTGGAAAAGTATAGGGACAATAGATATAGTAAGTCAGTAGAAATAAGTATCAAAGATTCTGCATTTTTACGAAATATACAAATAGGTATATTTAAATATTAAGCAAAACTGCAACCTTATGTTTGGAGTAGTTTTTAGTCAAAACTCTACAGATTTCGAGGGCTCTCAGGCTCAAGTCCCTCATCGTCAGGAGTTAAAAAAAATCTGCTTTAACAGAATATTTGCTTAAAGCCTAAACTAAACACAGAACTGATGTTTTGCCTCATTTTTAAGCTTTGCATTGAGGTGTTTCTCCTTTTTCTTGAAATAAATTTAATTATTAATTAATTAATAATTTATAATACTTAATTATTATAAAATTATAAAATTATTATAAAGACATTTATTTAACATCTATCAGTGTAATTTGTGTAATTAATGAAATTGCACTAAAGAACTGGAAAGTGTAATTGCAAAAACAACACTTTGCAAGCAAAGGTAATGACTGATTCTGCAATATTACCACATGTATTCATTGCCATAATTCACATTACGAGGAGCTAATTTGTTGATGAATAAACATCATATTAATGTCACCATTCTATGATGATCGAAAGACATATTTATTTATAGTTAATAGTTTATAATTTAACGGAATGTTAATTATAAGTACAAATCGAAAGTTACTAATCAAAAGTTACTAATTTCTGCTGAACGTAATAGTTAACTTTCACTATTCTGTATCAAAATATAACCATTTTACCAAATGGTAAAAGTAAAAAATTATACCAGAATGTTTGTAAAAGGTTTTTATCATCATTTTAACCCAGAGTTTTGAAACTTTTAAAAGATAAATTTTCGAAAGCACTTGAACATTTTAAATGTTAAACTAAATGTCAAATTTAAAATTCGCAAAAATTCTAGCAAAGAAATAATTTTTTAATAATATTTTCTGTTAAAGTTAGGCAATTGCAGAATAAAAATATTCCATGACTTTTCAGATTTTGCAGCAGAAATTAAAGTAAAATTAATTTAAAACAAAAAGGGAATAAGAAACTTTAAGAGATAAACTTTGAAAAACTTTCTTATAAGACTAATAACAATATCGACAATGCAGATTTATCTTGCAAGTACCTCGCTATACTCGCAATATTCTGAAATTTCTAAAGTTGCTTCATGTACTTGCAGTTTTCGCAGATTTTTATTTTCTGTTTTGAAAAGACCAGAGATTTTGATTTTCAAAGAATTAACAATTTTTTACAATAAATTATTGTACAATTATTTAACTATTACAATAATTTGTTTTACAATAATTTAGTTTAATTGGATTAATTGGGATTTTTACTTTCTTGTACCGAGAAAGGGAATACTGTAATCGCGAAACATTTCCGCGAAAAATTGGATATTTCAAAGGAAATATCCAATGTGAACTATTCCTAAGTCCATTTAGACTATTTTGTCATGTGACAACTCTGCGTAAGGACATAATAAAGGATTCTTTTTCCAAAAACGGATTGCTAAATGGATTTAAAGCGGATTCAAAAGTTAATTTTTTGTCACGTCTCTACCCATATGTACGTACGTATGTATATGTATATTTTGCATAACTCAAAAACGATTAGAACTAGAATGTTGAAATTTTTCATATGGAATTGGTATAACAACTACTCGATCATATCTCTTTTTCTTTTGCAATCAGCAGTACCAAATGTATATATATTTCCTTTATGGGCTTTTATTTTCGCAATCGTTGGTTGTAGTACTATACCTCCAATTACAGAAGTGCTTTAAATGACGAAAATATTCGTGTTTTGGCAATGTCAAATTAAAAAAGAATATTTGATAAATAGCGAAATATAACATTTAATGCGGTCTGTCTGTTCCTATACTTATATTTTGTAAAATAAATTTTGATAATTTTATAAAAATAAAATTATAACAACTTTGATTCTACGACAAAAATTGAGCGGGATACTTAATTTGAAAATTTGCAATTTTTTATGTCATTTTCGACTTACCTCAAGGGATCGTTTAATTAAGATAGAATAATTCTAGGGGGAAAATAAGCCATTTTATTAATAAAAATATGCAGAGAAAGATCATTCCGTGATATATATATTAAGCGGTTTTCCCGATCCATTTATAAGGTGCTAATTTTTAATTCCATCCTCAGGAAATTTTACAATTATAGTTTAAGAGTAACACGAGAATAGTCAAATTCTGTTTCCGTGTAAACAAGCTTGGCGTCTGAATTTAAATTTTAGCATTTAAAGAATTTTAAGCTGTGAAATCTTTCTTTGGTAGCATAAACTAGCATCAAACTCCTAACCGACTTGAAGTGAATTACCGCTTGGTCTGAAACAAAAACAGTCTTGAAAAGGCACAAAACAACCTTTTTATTAAATGAAAACTTGAATATAAAGGGCACGTATCGTGCTTACAAATCAGCCACTGCTTGGCAATCAAACTTATAAAGCAACAGTTAAGTCCAAATTTTAACTTAAACAAATCAAATCAAAAACTATGCGATTGGTTTAAACCTCAGTTGGCTAAAAACTGCTCACGGGCCTAACAATTAAATGTCGGCAGAAAAAACTCAAAGCCGAAGAATTACAGTCTTATCAGAGTTGGTGAACACAGTAAGGTGGCCTCGAGAGGCAGAAACATGCTCTCTCTTTATATACAAACCCCTTGACTTTAATAGTCTCAAACTGATTTGTAGGAAACGGAAAGGAGAAGTAATAGTAAAGATGAAGTTATGAATAACTGGTTACTTAAAAGAATAATAAAAATACAATATTAAAAATAGATGGAGAAAGTCAAAATGATCGGTCTAGCTTTGTTTTAAGGAAATTTGAACGATTCTGTCTCATGTCGAGGTTTTTTTAACAAAATATCTATGTTTATTACACATTTTCTGGATATGATAGATTCTAAAAAAAATCATCGAAAAAGCGAAAAAGTTTAAGATTTTTCAAATAAGAGATAAACGGCAAATGAGATTAAATACGAGATTCTCAGCGACATCTCCTATAGAGATTGGAAAAAGTATCAAAACATTATGCATTTTGTAAAGAATCAGGTGGGTAAACATTATTCCCTTTGAAAATGCATAAATTTAATATATAATATCAAAGTTTTCAAATCCACCAAAACGCGGTGTATGAATCACCTTTCCCCCGTGATATTTAAGATTCTTGTTCTAATTCAAACATATATTATTGTCCAACTATCATACCTTTACAGTTGAATATGTAACATCCTCGATTAATTTTCTTGATTGCGATATCATAACTCTCTCGTAAAATTTTTTAAGAAAATATTCTTTTTCTTCATCATCTATTAATACATATATCTCCATATTTTGTTAAAATTTTTCTCATAATATCTCTCAGGATTTAAATCTTTTAATTTTATAGTTTTAGAGTAAGCTCCAAATTCTTTCAATTATTAGTAAACATTTTTAAGGGCTTTTTATTTCAATCCATCCGTAAAACAGCGATAAAATAAAAAGAATATCATGATTTGATATAAACAAAGCTACAAAGCGATTATCTTCTACAAAACTGTATTCCCATCCATTATAATCTTTAATTTTTTATAAAATTCGTCTCTAAATACAGTAGAACTCCAATTATCGGAATCAATTTTAACCGGATCCCATTCGAAAAACTGTACTTTTCCCGAAGAAAGTATCTACGTATAATTTTTTTTACTTACTGGTATGTACTGTATGTTGAAAATGGGAGAAAATGCTATTTTTTTAAAAAAAGAGGTTTTTAATTAATTAAAATGAAAAGGCAACACTTTTACGTATATGTTAGACAGCGTATTGTACAGTACTCACAAGTACTGAAAGTCATTGCTTGCTGAACATCTCGGTCAAAGTAAGGTGTCTGACGGACACCGTGTTTGCACTTAAAATTTCTTAGCCAGCCGTTACATGCTCTAAAGGATGAACATCCAAGCTTCTGAACTAAGAAGTGTAACGTGTATACGAGCCAGTTTCCCTTAGAAAGTCCTCCAAGAAGGCGTCCCTCCCCTTAGGCAGATAGCCCTCGAGGCTTTACCATAATCACACACAAACACACACTCTCTAAACTAAGATCTTAGCATTTTTACAAAGAATCAGACCCGAAACTGGTTTTCTCATAGAATGTTGCTGCAAAAAACCACTTGAAAACGGTATCTTCGAAATTTTTGTTCGTTGCTGCCTTCATTGATTTTCTTGAAGAACGACCATCTTCGTTTTCAAGTAGTGACACGAAATTTAAAAGTATAGGTTTGCTCCTTTTAATGGGTGAAAACTTTGACTGTCCAACACTATATTTTGTCTTAATTATTTATTAAAATCTGAAAGCGATTCTGTTAATCAGCAATTCGGGTAGCTGGAGTTCGGATAATTGGAGTTGTACTGTAATAAAAAATCATCTTCATTTAATTTAAAATGGAATATTATTTAAAACATTATTAAATATGCAATAACACTTTTAATTTCAGGTTTTTCTTCTCGGCGCTTCGCTTTTCGTGAGCACGTCCGAAGCAGTTGGCATTGGTGAAATAGGAGGAGGTGCCCTCGGTGGTCATGGAATTGGTGCTTCCGGTCTGGCTGGAGGAGACCGTGCTGGTTCCGGTTACGGTGGACATAAAGGTGGAGTCTCTTCCAAGGGTTATGACCGCGGTTTCAGTTACGGAACTGGACACGATTCAGCAAAAGAAGTCACTATCGGCGATGAAGAATACGGAGGCAAAGGTTTCGGTGACAAGGAGCTGGTCGGTTATCGATTAGGAGGAATAGGATATGGTGGCTTAGGATATGGAGGATTCCGCGCCCCTCCACCTCTTATCTTCTTCCATTAGAGTCTTCACAGACAAGCCATTGCATTAGCTTCCACTGTTTAAAATACTTAATATTACGAGGAAATTTAATAAAGGAAAAATTAAATATACCTCTTAATAACTCTATAATACTTTTTAAATGTGCTGCCTATTTGAATATCTGCATATTGACATAAATAAATTACTACTTTAGTTTGATTCTGTGTTTTCATTTTTAATTATTATGGCTCTAATTGGTGAAATGTTCAAAGCAAATGATTAAATATGTACTACATATATATGTTTGTACATTATAGTTTTTAAGATTACTGGATACTTTTTAAAAAATTGCAATTAATTTAGGTATATTAATTATTAGATGATAGCGAATGCAATATGTTTTTCTTGAATTTATTTATGGCTGAAAAATGCCATGTTGTAAAGATCATAAGCTTTCGAATTCAATTTCTTATCCTTAGCATATTTACTCCCATTATACGAAACATGTAAAACTAAGTTATTTTAAATGAATGCCAACTTAAAGAGCGTAAATGCTGTTGTAATTTCTATAGATACCTGAAACATAAAATGAATTATAAATTCTCTTTCAAGTTGCTTGGTAGGAAACTTCCCCTAAAATGTGAAACGTTTATGGTACTTTTATTTACATATGTGCAACGGAAAACATTTAATTCTAATTGTTTCTACAGCCGTGCTTTTACCGATAAGTAGCATTATTATCAATAAAGCTGCTATTTTGCGAGATGTAATAAAAATTAATAAATGTTAGGCTTTAGAGCCGTGAAATTGTTCATGGACTTTCGCAAACCTTTCAGCAGGGAGCATGCTTAAAAACAGGTAATCATTTTCAGAAACATTATTAAACTATATGTATGATAGTAGTTCAAAACATTTAAAAACATTTTATCAGTTTTTTGGAAATACAATATTTTCGGTCGACACCATTTTACTTCCTTGTACGAAGTAAATTAAGTATTGTAATCGTGACAAATTTCGGGTATCATGTTTCAATGGAAATATCTACTTTTATCGTTTCTGAATCCATTTTGACAAATTTTCTGCATGAAATCTGTATCTAAGAATAAAGGACTCTATTTTCTAAAATGGGTTTTCTAAATTTAAAATGGACTTCTTTGTGACGCCCCTACGTACGTATGTACATGTATGCCTGTCATAATTCAAAATTGATGAAACATTTGATTATTTAAATTTTGTATATGGGACTGCTGTGACATCTGATTGTTCACCTCCCTTTTTTAGTGCAATCGACAGTGTTAAAACTATATATACACTGGTGCGCAAAAATTAAGGACGAAGTCGAAAAATTAGCATATCAGCTGAACGAAGAGGCAGAGTGGACAGAAAGACCAGTCAGAAAGATTAAGTAATGTGATGTACGGTAGCACATGCGCAGATATGCAGGTAGACGTAATGGGGGAGTGCTGAGTATAAAGCATGTTATCGGTGTAAGATCAGTATTTCTGGCAAAAAAATTGTACGCCGTATAGCAGTTAAAATCACACCGAGTTGCTGCCTCAGCGAGAAATGGCGAATAATCAATCTATTAGACGACATCTGGATGCTTTTACCCGAGGTCGAATCATTGGGAAGTTGGAGGAAGGCCGCAGTGTGACAAGTGTGGCTGCAGAGTTCGGAATTGCTCACAGCATCGTTTCACGACTTTGGAGACAATTTCAAACTACAGGAACAGCTATCCGGGGGTTTATTAGTGATCGTCCACGAGGAACCACACCCGCAGATGACCGGTATATTGCCTTACATGCCAGAAGAAACAGGCGGCAGTCAGCGGGAGAAATCGCTAGATAGACACACGACACAGGCGACTGGACGACGACCGATATCGCGTTTTACCGTGGCCAGAAGACTGCACGGTGGTGGTCTGTTTGCACGACGCCCTGTACGGTGTGTACCTCTAACGCCTGCCCATCGGAGAAGGCGTTCTCTGTGGTGCCGGGAACACCGGAATTGGAGAGACAATGAATGGGGACGAGTACTCTTTACAGATGAGAGCAGATTCAGTCTGAGTAGCGATTCTCATCGCATACTCATCTGGAGAGAGCGGGGAAGCCGCAATCATCCCTCGGACATCATTGAAAGGGACAGGTATGGAGGTGGCGGTGTTCTCGTTTGGGAAGGCATCATGCTTGGTAGTCGTACAGACCTTCACATCTTCGACGTAGGTTCAGTCAACGGGACCCGTTATTGTAACGAGATTCTTCTTCCATATGTGCGTCTTTTTAGAGGCGCTATGGGTCCGCAGTTTCTTTTCATGGACGACATTGCACCATATCACCGCACAGTAGCTGCCGAACAGCTCTTAGTGAGGATATTGAACGTATGGATATGCCGGCACGATCTCCGGATCTCAGTCCCATCGAGCATGTATGGGATTTTCTAGGCAGACGCTTGGCAGCTCGTACCTTACCACCAGTAACGATTCCGGAGCTTCGATTGGCGCTGCAAGACGAATGGGCAGCAATGCCTCAACAACTCATTGACACCCTCATTCTCAGCATGGGCAAACGCTGTGAAACCTGCCTAGCAGTCTGGGAAGATCATATCCCTATTAAAGACCGGATGTTCTTGCTGGACACCCATCACAGGGATGTTTCGGCCTTCAGTCGCATTGCGCTCCATGCTACTTTTTCAATAAAGCTTCTTTTTATCCCTCTGATTTCTCTTTTAGTAAGTGTTGCTTACATTACTCATGTCCTTACGTATTGCTTACGGTATTAAATGTGTTGATTTGGAAAGCTTTTGTACAAAGTTATATTGAAAAAACCGTCTCGTCCTTAATTTTTGCACACCAGTGTATATATTAAGTAATAGGTTTTTTAATTAGCTATCATTGTTAGGTTTCGATAATATTAAATAAATCTACGCTGTCTATTTATATTGATATTGCTTTAATTGAAATCATTCAAATTTTTTGCGTGAATGGCTAATATAACACTGGACCTTTTACTTTTATGGTCTCCTAGTCTAAGTGGCCCACTAGCATGTATACGAGCATGTATATGAGCATGTATACGAGCATGTATATGAGCATGTATACGAGCATGTATACGAGCCAGTTTCCCTTAGAAAGTCCTACACGAAAACAGCCTTTTCCTTAGGCAAAGAGCCCTCTTATGCTTTGCCGGAGTTAAATAAACCAAAAAAACCAAACTAAAACTAGTCTTAGTGGTTTCATTTTCTGCGTCACATAACAACAACCTTGGAATACCTACCTGTCTGTTCTGAACCACAGTCTATAGTTGTACATCCAAGCGAAACAGGCATATCAACTACATCTACCCTGTATAAACGAAATTATATAATAATTAGATAATTCATCTATGTATAGAATAGAGTCATTACAGGTCTTTTGTACGATCAACATGGTTTAAATGTATGCAAAAAAGGACTTATATTTCAAGATGTTAACATTCAGATTTATCTAGGCATTATGAAGATAAAAATAATAATTTGAAATTTAAAGGTCTGACATATTTTAAAGAATTTTTATCCCAAAAGGGACGTTAATCTGAACGGCGTTTTGTGTTGAATCACTATAAACGGCGTATAACTTTTCAAATTGTTGCCAACAAAGATTATCGCCCTGTATTACATTTAAAGAAACTAAATAAGGAAGAATCTGCATGTTTCTGGTATTGGGAAAAACCAACGGTACCTAGAGCCATCAAATTTTGAACAACGTAGTCTACCATCCGAACAAAACCTGGAAGACCGAATTTTGAATTTCAGGTTTTACTTTATTATATATTTGATATTTTGTAAAACTTTAACTAATTTTTGATTAACAAACTGAAGGATTTCAAAGCGAGCAGTGGCAACATTGTACCAAAAAAAAAGTTTTATCGCCAGCGCGCAAAACTGTCTATTGGAAATTTTAAAGATATGCTGCTTTTAAATACTTTGAGATTTTTGTTGCTGCAACGAAGTTTTTGGCGCGTAAGGGTCAATTAAAACGTGTTATTTAATTAATAAAGTAAACACACAGAACGTTAATAATAAAAAGCAAAAAAAAAAAAAAAATGTTTTGTAACGCCATCTCATAAGAAAACTGAACATTTGATATGATAAACAAAGAACGCTGCATCGAAAAAAACTAAACACATACTGCTATGCTGCGTTTAAAATTTTTGTAATCTTGCTGTTGAACTATATATGGCGTAAGTTCTAAGAAAATCATGCTTAAAAATAAAGCTAATCAAACAAAACAAAAAATGGATTAGGTGGAGTGAGTGTAATAGATGATTGGTAGACTGCGAGATCAGAGAGAGCATGAAAAACCTTAACAATGCCTTTTGGGCAAAGTTAAAATCTGAAAACTTTTTTTTTTTTTTTTTTATTTTTTTTTATAGAATCATCGAATTTGTAATAAGCGATAAAATTTTATTCATTATTTTCAGACTGATTGAAATTATCTCAGTGGCACATTTCTTTGAAATGGTAAAACGATCTTCAAAACATGATGATATTGCGGTTTCACTTTTCCGATGTTACTCGTACACAAGATGAAAAATTAAAAAATCGAACATCGTGAGAGGGATATATGTAACCTTTCACACAGATGTATCAAAGTATGACGATAATATTGCAGATTACTCATATGAATAGTTTCTGCCCAGATATCTGTGAAATTTGTGCATCGTAAAATCATACATTTTTAGAAATTTCTTTTAAATAGGCTTTAATATTGAACTAGACTTCACAGTAAGTCCTCGATTTTCCTCACCCTGGCATATTATCCACTGCCCTCAAGTTAACTCAATCTCTTCATTTTTACATGTAAAATACTGAATACTGTGAAATCTTTAAAATTCAAAATACTGGGTTGGCGAGAGTAATTTCAATTTGCGCAAACAGATAGCGTTATGTTCATTTTGTTATTCTTCTTCCAGTTTTAAAATTTTCTTTGAAGATTTGTCAGCTGTCTCTTTTAGGTTGCTATAGAAACAAAAATCTGTGTATTTTTCTACATTTTTTACTTCTTATTTTCATAAAAGAAAGAAAGCGGCTGAGATTCAGAAAGAGATATGTGAAGTTTATGGTGCTGATTGGTTAGCAGGTCACATGTGTCAGAATAGGTTTAAAAATATTTGTTCCGGAAATTTTTCATTTGAAGATGACAAACGTTCTGACCGAACTTTGAGATTTATGTGACT